GGGGGGGAATTGGAATTGATCGGTGTTGTTGAATGAGTGGCGCCAATGAAAGGGTCTCTCCTTTTCCTTGTAAATTGCTATTAAATCACTCGCATGTCGCCAGACGACACGCTAGGTCCTTGACTCTATGTGGTATCTCTTATGTAAGCTCTTATTTTTGCAGATTTATTCGACAAATTACGTGAGCATGGCGCCTGCGAGACGCAGGGTAGATCGCCCCGCAGTACACGAATGCAATGTAAACTATGTTGCCTGCCTATCAGGGGCTATGATAGTTTGTAGAGGATTAACTTGGCAGATTCGTATCGGCGAATGACGGACGTACTCTCTAGATGATCCCCTGGCACGTGCTTGAAAGGATGGACCGAAAAAGGAAAGATGAGAGGGAGGGCTCAACTATACTTTTGCTTTTGTTGAACCTTTCCCTATTGTGTGTTCACCCTACTGTGCCCCTCCCTCCAATAGCACCCATCACGACAGATCTTACTATTACCAGCTCATACAAATTACATTTTTCAGTTACAAGATTTTTAGAGGGAATATGTAGGGGACAGGGACCAATGAAATCCTATCTGGACCTATTATGCATCAGTTCATTACTCATGTCGTGTCCGTAAGAAATAATGTGCTATAGAATACGTCAATAGAGTCCACACCAAGAAAGAAAGGAGTAATTTTTATAAATAAAATAGAATATAATGTAATATTTTTCACAAGCAAATTGAAGACACAATTCAAACAGAAAACAAGAAGTGGAAAACACTAAATAAATAAGATTTGAACATTTAAATTGCAGCTGAAGTTGATTGAGGTGGACTCAGTTGGATATCAGCTGGCTCTACAGGGTCTCCTGATTTCGTCACCTCGGTATTCTCATCTATTCAAAAAATCAGAAGAAATAAGTTCAGTGTACTGAGAATTGTCATTAAAATTGAGATAGTTTAATTATTTAAATTACCAGTCACATCACTATCAGGGTGCTCCTCATTCTTGTCAACTTTAGTACATTCAACATCATCTTTGGTATCTTCAACATTATCATCATTATCGTCATCATCAACATCTTTATCATCGTCGTCAGATGGAGAAGATAAATTCAGGAGAATATCATCATCTTTGTCATCATCATTCTCGTGTTCTTCACTGTCATCATCCTCCTCCTCCTCCTCATTATCATCCTCTTCTTCCTCTTCATTGGAGCCTGATTGATTGTCACCAGTTTTCTTTTTCGTAGCCTTCAAGGCAAACTCATCAATCACCTAATTATAAAAGGACAGCTGTACAATGGTCCACAGTTTCTAACCAACCGGAAAAGTAATTACTATCACATATGATTAGATGAAACATACCTCATTTATTTTTTTCCAGTTATCTTTGTTTTTTGATAGAAGTTCTTCCAGCTCCTTGTCAGTGTCTGCCGGATCTTCGTTATTCTGAATTAGGGCTAACAAGGACTCAGCGTGTCCATGTTTTCTTTGCCGTTGGATTTCTTCACCTACTTCTTTGAATGCTTTTCTTGCTAAAATAAACAAACAGATTGAACGTTCATTAAATATTACTTGCCCTCTAAATTTTTTGTTGAGGGAGATGAATACTCACCCATCTCTTGAATTTCTGAATCAGTTAACTTCATTTCATATTTATCATTTGAAGATCTTATAACTTCACAGATATCTACATAATCAGGGAATTGTTTAGTCTCATTGACAAACTTTTCAATACATCTATTAACGTCTTCAAACGAGGTTCCTGAGAAATTGAAGAAAATTGAACATATCATGCGTAAACCTTAACTATCATACTTTCAAAAATTACAGCGGCTAGACCACTGACCTGAAAAATGGATTCTTGTACCACTTCCTGCTGCTTTGGATTCGTTGGTGAGATCACATAATTTATCGAATACTTTAACAGCTCGCTCCTTATATCTAGAACAATAAAAACAAAGCTGATTGAGTAGTAAGAATATTCTACGTTCCTATCAAACTAATGTAGGAAGTGTTCTACCTCTGAAGCATTATATATGGTGAATCTTCATCATCTACTTCCCAATCAACTTCCTTTGTTTCAAGCTGGTGAATAGCTTTCTCAAGTTTCTAAATACACAGATAAAATTATATTAATTACATTGTTGAACTAGAGAAGAGACTAAAAATTATATGTAACTTTTAATACTATTCCTTACCACTAAGACCTTGTTCAGCTTTCTAATCTTCAGCTCATTTCGCTTAGTTTCAACAGCCTCATAATCCACCTCCTTCTTCTCGGAACTTTTTCGTTTCTTAGTAGGAGGAGCACTATCTTCATGCGAGTCCTGTCAATGATGCAATGAATGAGGTTAAAGCGTCAATACAATGAATAATTTTAAAATTAAGCTTGAATTGGGAGATAATATACCTTTCGAGCTTTTAATTCACTTGTCAGGTCAGAAACATGACAATAAAGGTTTTTTTGGTCATTGATTACTTTTGTCACAAGACCTTCCAGAAGTTTGATAAATGACGATGACTTCTTAAATGAAGAGTCTAGTTTAGAGTAATGCTTCCTAATTTTTTTATCAATTATAGTGTGCATGTCCTCCGAGGAATCCGCTTTTATGCACGCCTGTATGAACTGTTCAAAACAATCAATGAGCCTACCACTATGACTGAAAAACAGAAACAAAGATATGAAATTCAAGAGTTTGGGCTTACTTCTTCGAGCAGTTCATCCGAACTTTTCTCCGTTATCATTGTTGTTGGTTTAATCTGAAACACATCATAGAAGGACTAAAGATGACTTGATTTTTCAATGAAACGTTATTTGTTTTGGCTGGCAAAGCAGTCAGTAAGAGGTTAGATGGCTTAGCCGGTCACTGGACGATGCAACCGACAAATTTCCATTCGTTTCCATCACATAAGAAATGCCCTACCTTCTTTTTCCCCTTTTCTTTTCCCACCATTTTGCTAGTTTCTTTTAACTTCCTCCAACAACACGGAACTTGCAACTTGCGAATATAAGTGGTGACTGAGTGAGTCCAGCAGAGAAGAGAGAAGGTGGGTTGGGGGGGGGGGGGGGTGTAGATGGGGAATGGAACTATCAGATGGTACCAAAACGGCGGATTGCGGCTAGACTTAGCAAGTTCGTGTAGACCGTAAGGAACGGGACATGTGAAGGAGGTGACAGTCTCAGGTGAGGTGATTACACAAATTGCTTCTGGTATGCCGTCGGTCTGACATCATTTTTAACAGTTTGAAGATTTGAATAAGCATGTATGCTATCCTGACATCAAGTGTTTTGGGCAATTACCACAAATAGAAATCAACTAATTTACTTACCCGTCTCTTGAAAGGATTGGTTGTCCTTGTAGAAGATTCTGTTTTAGCACTAATAGCTATAATTTCATTGTCTGCATCACCGGCAACAGTGACTTTACTTTTGCCGTCTGCTATCTCACTATTACTAGAGCTACATTGGAGCCTATTTTCAGTCTCATCACTAGGATAAGCAAGGGTCATGCTTTCATCCTTCAGTACATTATTGTCTTCAGACTCATTTTTCTTTATATCCTCTGACTTAATAATACCTAACGAACTAATATCACTCCCTTCGCACTCTTCTTCGTCATCACTTAATGTAATGCACTCCGGGTTCTTTTTTAATTTTCCATTTTTAGCTAATGACACTACTGCATCTGTCACCAATTTCCTCATAGGTGTAATAAATTTGACTTCATTCTTAGATTTTATAGGGGAAAGCGATCTTACTTCTTTAATTTGAAGCCCCGGATACTGTTTGACTGGCTTATTATTAAAACCTGAATATTGTTTGGCATTTGTCGAAACGGTTGCTTTAGAACTCGAATACTGTTTGACGGGCAAAATGGTTGTCTGACGAGGAGCCAAAGCAAACGGTTTTACTCTAATGATTGGATTTGGAGTATTTGATGGATAGGCTGGCCTATCTATAGTTCTAGTCGGCCTAAAATTGTACAATTCAGTGGTACTCTTTTGAGGTGATAAAGATGTCACACTGGTTATGATTGGTTGTGGATAGTGCCACTGCGAAGAGGCATTGTTCAGAGGTAAGGGGCTTTGATGCAGAGATGCCTGGGTCCATCTCTGACAAAGCTGTGGAGGAGCAATACTGAAAGCATTTTGAGGGCGGCGTTCAATTCGAGTCTCCTGTAAAACAAATCAGAAATCATGAGAGAATAGTACTAGAATGTTGTAGTAAGATTCACTCAACAATCAGTTGATACCATCGAAAATAAGAAAGGTTCAACATAAATCTTTTAAGAAATTGGAGCAGGAATACGTTAATTGCTAACATGGTATAACTTTTTATAGCATAACCGTGACAGCTGAATAGCTGTCACTAAAGTTTTGAGTTGCTGGGGTCATATATCACTACACCGAACCTCTTGAGATGAATCCAGGCAAATTATGTCGCAATCGTCCATCACGGGCGAGGGATCATCAAAATATTTAATAACCATTCAGTCCAATTTACTTAAAAACCTATTTTTTTAAATACAAAAATACATTCACGACTAGGACGTTTTGTTAGGTTACGGTTGACACGAATTACGTTTCTAGCGGGAATGTTGGCAATTCTGGGGAAATTCCCCTACAACTTTGTGAAACGAAAATCACTTCCCGTCTAGCCACCTAGAAGTAGAGCCATAGACGGAACACTTTTATCCCACGACGAATGTAGCCGCGTTCGTTTTCCCATGCCCCAAATTTCTTTATTTGCTGATTTTCTGATCTTTATATTACCTTTATTATAAGAGTTTGTATTGTGCTAGCTCTTGTCATACGTTGCCACGGCTGTGTACTGTAGTATACTACATTCCCCCGATTGCCTTATATTTCTCATAATGGCTAGCAAAAGCAAAGCGCAGTTCGCGTAGAATGGGCTGCCTACCCATCGGGCGGCAGGAGCACTTCTCCGCACCATCTTTCGTAGGGGATCGAGTCCACTTTGGTCGTGTCGTCACACAGTCTGTGAAGGAGCGGGACAGGTCCAAGTGTTCTGAGGGAACCACTCCCTTTACTCAATGTAGCTACTGTCCCCCATGAAAAAAACTAGGGATCGTTCGGGTCCCAAAGATGAGGATTTTGTCAAAATGACATTTTGATGTCATTGTCAAGATTTGGTAATTTTATTGGGCCGGCTAGATGTCATCTTGACATCAAATGACACCCAAATCTTAACAATGACATCAAAATGATGTCCGTTTTACTATAAAAAAATGATTGGGGTCGCTTTTCGCATCCGTTCGTTCACCCGTTCGCGCCGATTCTAGCCGTTCTAGCCCCCCCCC